CTGTTGAGTATCAGAAGACCGCCACCACCTTGGATTTGTTGCAAACTTAAAACTAGAGGAGCCGGCTGTTGGCTTTGAGTCGTGTGGGAATGTCTTGAGTATACGCGGGGAGCCGGTGAGGCTGTTGTTGACGACTGCTGACCTCCGGTAGTCGAAGAAACCTTTGTCCAAACATTAGAAAGAACGATTGAAACGGGATGAAATGTTTCACGAAAGCGGTTCGAAGCAGATTAGGACGAAATATATGAGAGTAGTACCTGATTGTCCGGTGTTAGTCTCCTGGGTGCAAGCTGTGTGCTTGTGGTAGAAGAAGTGGAAGATGCCCTCTGTCTGTCCAACAGTTGAGAAACTATCATGTCGACGGGATGATTGGAGTGTTGTGTAAGATGAGGATTGTTAGGATCGTCATCTCCACCGAGGAACATGGGTCTAAGCTGAGAAGCCAGCTCGTCTCGCGTCCACTCCTTCTTATCTGGCGGCAGTGCGAGACACGGTGGCAGCGCCGCTAGCTTTGCATCACCGTCCGGGTAAGGAACGTTTAAGTAGTGAACGAGGACGACGTCTGGATTCTGTAGTAGCCAATAACAACGCCGATGAAACGTCGGTAGGATAGCCGAGTGCACGTAACAGCCGTAGATGCACTCGACACCCTGAACCTGGTGATTTCGTTCGGAACAGAAGGAAAAAAATCATATGTAGATGGCGCGAATCCCAATAGGTGTAGAGGTTCTCTCTGTCTCTAGCGTGTCAAAGGAACTACCTTCAGTTTCATGTGATCCTCTCGTGTAGTTTTGCCATCTTTCCGCTTCTTCCAGCAATAACCGTCCCGCCGGTAGCGGACCTTCTTTCTCGAGTACAGTAACATCGAACCACTTCGTGGCCGTACCTTCACCTCCCGACTTTGCCATTCCGCGTGCCTTTGGAAACTGATCAGAATAGCAGCAATTTCCTGTTAACAATGCACAACAACGTTCTCCATTCAGAATACACTTTCGTTTCGTTTCGTTTCGTTTATCTCTCGTGGAAATGGTTGGTTGTGTTTGAACGCGGCGCCGCACCACTTGGAAAAGTGCAACTTGAGGGAAACTCCTCGAGATGACGAGGATAAGGCAGCCGCGACAGAAGTAGGATACGCGAATTCGAACGAGCATATAGACAGTCTTCAACCAGCTGACATCTGCCTTTCCCGTGGATTTCGCTTACTTTTGCAAATCGCGCTGATACATCTCTCCTCCGATCTCCCTCCAGTTCTCATCTCGCTGCGAAGGAGTGTGAGTGCACCAGGCGAGACGACCCGTGTGCAAAATATTCGCATACATTTCCGTCGCTGCCGTTCAGGGATTCTTCCCGTTCAAATCCCCCGAAAGTCACGAGAGACATGGCCCTATCCGTCTGACAAAAATCATCATTTCTCATCTGGAGACTTTGTACATCGCCTCTTTGACAAAGTAAACTTTGCGAATACGTTGAATAAAATCACGTTTCTCCAACCCCTTTCTATTTCGATGCGTGAGAGGGGAGAAGCAAGGTTCACCTCGCGGTAATGCCTAGAAGATATGGAAAGCAATGCGCGCGTTTGCTTCCTTCATGTTTACGTACAGCTAATAATAGCAACTCGGTTATTATACCGTTCTCTATTGATTTTCCGCGCGAAGAACCAGCCAGTACGACTCTCGAAAAAAAAAAATACGAAACGCATGATAACCGACGAAGAAAAGAAAAAAAGGACCTAACCCGATAAAAAAGGAAGGGAAAAGGTGCAATTACCAAGCAACAGATTTTGCATGGTTAATCATGACACGTCGTTTCCCGGCGTAAGCGGACATGCGATCGGTCAAGAAGCGGGGAGGCGAACGTTACGAAGAGAAAAATGGCACGTCGGTGAATTAGAAGGAATTTCGTCCTATAAATATTCGAAGAACGGTCGAAAAGATGGTTATCCAACGATTTCCACGAGCGACAGAACCTGGAGCGGAGAGAGCGAGAGAGAGAGAGAGAGAGAGAGAGAGAGCAGTTTCTCCCGTAGGTAGAAGAAAAAAAAATTGAACACACTCGTAGGTGAAATAAGTACGTGGGCCAGGTGAGTGTGCGGCACGCGATCTGACGTGGTTAAATGCAAATCGAACGCCAAACTGCGGCTGATTCGTCTAACCATAGAAAGGTGGCTAGTAATAAAATTCTCTCCGGGTGTTGATATACATATAAAGTTGAGCCAGCGCGAGGCACCCTCGCGTGTCGTTCTACGTTCAGAAAACGATCAATTCGCAACGGGTCAGAGATCCCCGTGTGAGATTCTGCAAATGTCTTGGTTGTAATATCGGGGAAATAGTACGGATACCTGCCGGGTTTCGGCTAATCGAAGCAACACGACCACAACGATCGAGGAATTTCCCTTTGGACATTTTGTAACGACAGACGGTCCCTGATTGGGGTTGCTCGCTTGGCAACCTCAGCCCACAAATCGTACATTTCAAATGAGGTGCGACAAGATTGCGCTTGCTGCGGCTAAATTGCGTTACAAGGGCACGATCGTAGTTGGAACTGGCTGGTTACAGGGACAATTCGTTACTTTTCCCCGTCGAATTACGTAACACTGAGCACACGTAATCTAGGGGTGGAATAATTTATCGACCCGTTGTCTTGTAACGTCCTGTTACAACTGAATGCCGTTACAACAGTTTAATTAGCAAATTTAGTTTTCATTCGCCGGAAGAGAGAGTATCAAACATCTGTGTAAAATAACAACGATCGAAGCGAATATTATCCTTAACAAAGAATCGTAAGGGTTAATTTTACGTGGAGTGAAAAAAAGGGCAAAAGAGCGACAATTATGAAGAAACCTTCGTCCATTTGCAAAGGAGTTAATTGCCAAAAAAAAGAAAAAAGAAAAAAAGAGGAGCCGTAAGTATGGTTCGAAGTAGTTAATATCTTTGCACTGTTCCCCGTGCCACGGAGTTCCCGAAGATTCTCCAGCGAACGTGGCCTGGATATAAATATTCTTAACGAGGGGCGGAGTAGACTCCACCAGCCATTAGACCGGCCAAGTACACCGACAGCGAGGCTAGATAAAGCTTGCCCACTATGTTTCATTGATTTACAACTGGTTAATTGATCATTTGCATTCTGTCGGGGATACATTGCCATTGTCCACTGGGGGGTGAAACTAGAAACTAGAACTTGTAGCTTACGACTTTCATCGTGAATTCGCGAAACACATTTCCTCTTTCACTCACACACACACGCGCGCGTACTCATACTCTGAGAGAGAGAGACGAGTCTAGAGTGATCAATGGTAGAAAAGGTCAAGAGGAAGAAGGCTTGGATGCAATCGTATGATCGGTGCTCGTTTTTCACTCGAATCGAAATCGTTTTCGATTCCGCGATAAAGGGTTACGTAAGAGGCGCCAGACGAGCAGAGTTATTACGTTCACGAGGCATATTAATAGCTTCCTTTGTATCTTATTTAATCAAGCCCGGAAATCATCCCCTCTGTAACCGAAAAGGAGGGAGGGGAAGAAAATTGTACTCTCCAGGCAGGCTAACAGGCTCCCACGTAAATTGATTTTCCATGCGTTGCCGTATTTTGCAACGTGCCAGACTTGAAATGGGTCAGGCAACGTGGAGAATAGTTTAACTTGAAAGACGGCGTCTGACAGTGCATATCGTTATGTTGCGTGCAAGGTCGGCTTCCATGCAACGCCAGTCAGACTCACAAAAATTCTCCCTCCGCGATACCGCCACGTAATTGCGTACGTAATATTCAAGTTCGTGTTACCCACAGTTACATTCTCCATTTTTTCTTTTCTTTTTTCTTTTTTTTCAATTCTCGGTTCTTTTCTCTCTCTCTCTCTCTCTCTCTCTCTCTCTCTCTCTCTCTCTCTCTCGCCTTCGTTCGAACGCCGTCGTTTCACGAAGATCGCACGACGCAATTTCTCTATCGTCTGAACACGTTCTATCTAAAGAAGGTCAGCCAAAGGGGTAGGTGTTCGTGGAAGAAAACGGTGAACGTATAGATCTTTCAAGATACGATGAAAGAGCCCATAGATTCCCTGTATTCGGTTTAGCGGATACGTAAACGAGACGCCTTCTGTCCCGCGTGTTACCGGAAAGGATGTATTCTCCTTGATTTACGAATGCAAAAGGACCGATAAATCGACCCTCCTTCCGACGCCCCAAAACGAAGATGCTACGTCCTTCCACCGTTTCCTGTTTACGAATACGTACCTAAGGTGCTCTATCAAAAATTGATAATCGATAGGAAAAAGGATAAATCGAGGAGAACGGCGTGCGGAGAGAAAACGGGAACTTGGTAATTTTTACACGGAACAGTGGAATAACCGTATTTATAGTCAGACAAACTGTATCTATCGCGAATAGATATTCTACGTTACAAGTAGCAGAAATTCGCGTACTACGCGTACTAAAAATGGCTCGCGAGTTCCGGGGTAGGTCTGTTAGTAGTACGAGCTGATATTTGATCGGACAAGTCTAGGCGACAAGAGCACGCGATACGGGAACGTCAACGTCAAACCGAAAACTCTCGTCAGCTATGTCAAAACATACTAGGGAGAGTTTCCTAACAGAGAGCGGAGAGACACTTTAATGACTGATGACATTAAGCCAATGAAGTTTGCCCCTTTCCTAAGCGGTTCAAGTCTCCGACAACTCGATCTTCTTAATGAAACTACATATATACACGTGGAAAGCAAACTTTCGGGAATTAATTATCGTTGAAAAGTTGCCGGTAAAAACCGCGGATAAAAGGAACATTGATAAACTTAGAGAGTAGAACCAGCCTAATTTCAATAAACGTAAAAAGTGCACTCGTTGGAATTGCATCCTGTGGAAGCCGGCCGCGAGAGATCGTTCGATTCGAAATGCATCTGAGAAATTGCATATCGACGCGGCCCACATAAACGTTCCAGTGCACCGGTTGCTTCCACAGAAAAATTAGCCAGTTTTTCCCCGGTATCCTTTTGTGGTGCACGAGATAACACGGTATAAATAGGATATCCCGTTTCACAATCGGACGATTCGAGAGAAGAATTCGAAGATCGAGCTAGATGTTATTGTTGTTTCTTAATTTGCACAGAAGGTCTGGAAAATTCGTGAACGACGAGTAGTCGGAAATAAGCAAATGTTTAACTTCGTAATAATAATTGGTCGTGTTTGCCGAAATCAATTTCGGCGTTACGTCCAAATAGAATTTACCGAAAAACGCCGCTGCCCGGAAATTGCATTACCGACAGCGCAAACTAACATTTAATTGCGTCGGCTGTCATTGTGTGCCCGGGCAAACTGTGCCCATTCAAACGCATTTATACTCCGGTGCAATCGGAAATCAATAAGCAAACAGAAACATTGTTTTCGGATCGATTTCCGCTTACAGATAGGCCGTGCGGCCTGGTGTGCTCATCAATTAAACGAAATGTTATCGCAGAAAACTTCACGATAGGACCAAGTGTAAACGTGCAAAATTGTCGAATCCAACTGTAATCCAGCATTTCGTAAAAAACGAAAAAGAAGAAAAATCTGCCGGATTAACGGGGGAGGGAAAAAGATCCCGCGAAGCGCGTGAATGAAATCCATTGTGAAAAGAACAGTTCGACGAGATCGTGTAAACCGCAAAAAACAAAAAAGAATGTCCAATTTTCTAGCGTAATCCACGGTGCGAAGTGTATGCAAATGGAACAATCGATGACTTTCTGAGAGTTACAGATCTACATATTATTATTACGTGTTCCAGATTTCTAAACACTTATTTCCCATTATGCTCGGTTACCTGTTAATAAATCAACGTCGTTAAACCTCATTACCATTACATAAAAGTGTAAAACAAACGATGTGCCTTCGCCTAACAGCCAGCGAGATATATTCAAACGTTTCTGTGTCCTGCTACAAATGGGATTTGATCAGGCGACGGTAATAAGAGTAACGAGGAGAGAGATCCTGTGCAAAGTTTATCAGGCGTCGATTTCAGACGAGAACGGAAAAGTCGGGATACGAAAAAAAGAAGGAAAGAAAAAAACCTAGTCGTGTTGTTCTCTCGGCGGAAAGGAAAAATCGATAAAGGCAAACCTGAAGCAGAATCACATACGTCTTTTCTTCTTTTCTCTCTCTCTCTCTCTCTCTCTCTCTCTCTCTCTCTCTTCCCCCTCTTCTAAGCAATAAATCCTCGTTTCGTATAATCGAGGCTATTAAAAAAAAGTTAATAGGAAAAGTTCTCCAGCGGGGAAGACTTCCAGCGAGCCACGGGAATTGATTCGGTTCGGGCTTCAGAACAGAAACATCGGGCAAGTTTTCGCTCGTTTGAAGTTTAGAGCTTGATTGCGACCTGTCTCCAATAACAACTTAGAATTTGGCAACGAGTCAATAAAAATTCAGCCCCGGCCACCATCGTCTGAACAATAGAGAGAGACTCTTTGCTACGTCAATCGAATAAACTGAATTTCCATTTCCAACTAGTTCACCCTCCCTCGAGCTAGTTGGTTAGTTAAGCTTCCACCGGGGGGAAAGGGAGATACAACACAATCAGAAGTAGAATCAAAGTTTATCGTGCTCCATTTGTCTCCGTTGTACGAGCTTTTGATAAAAAACTGCCGTGCATTCGGTTCAATATTTAACAAGCGAACCCGAGAGTTTCGGTTTGCATAGAGAAGACGTTCTCCCTTCGAAGAAATCTTGCAACAGTTCTTAACAACCGCGGAGAGAGGCAAGTCTTCCATTCGTAAATAAAATTTCAACGTATGACAGTTTAGCCGTTTCTTTCATTAAATCCTGGCGAGTTCGAGGGAAGGAGAAAAAGAACGTTCGTATTCAGCTGTGAAATATGAGCGGAGAGGATTTGAAAAGTCCGATGATGACGTACTCACATATGCTGTTAGAGCGTTGGAAAGAGAAATGGTGCGTTGAAGAAGAGCTGAGTGACACGAGGAGGGTAGAAAGTAAAGGGGTGGGCGAGGGAAGAAAGGAGGCGAGAAAACAAGATCACAGGGAGAGAGGAGAGAGAGAGGCCAGGGTAAAGGATTTCGACTGCATACACGACGGGTTTAAACTTCCTGGTGCAGCAAAAAAGTTGCTCCGTTAACTTCCTAAGAACTTCATCTTATGAATAGTTTCGCGAGCATGAATCGCTGATGCGCTCGGGGGCTTTCATCAGTTCCGCGGTTTCTCGAGATAAATGAAAAAAAAAAAAAAAAAAGAAAAAGGGAAGGAAGAGAAAGAGCGGGAAGAAAAATGAATTGACGTAATATTAATAGCGACACTTTGTGCCGCCACGAATTTCCAAGTGGACCCCCCCGATAATACCGGTTGGCTCATTCATATTTATGATCCTGCTAATTCCACGTCGATGTTACGTCAACGCCGAAAGCTTCGGCGACGATACAAGGAATATAAAAAGGATGATGCAGCGCACGAGTTCCCAGGTTGACCTCATTAGCGATGCATATTACGCGACAATAGATAAGCGAAACAACTCTACGACTTGCCACTTGAGATCGTCACAGGGAGGAAACTCGACGATCAATTAAGCGCAGACCAGACGACAAACCTTTCGACGAATCAAAAGTCCCTTGGAAACTTCTTAGACCATGAGATTAAGCCCGGGGAGACAGTGTACGAGACAGAAAACTTGATGAAGAAGAATGAACTGTGAGGGTCCTGGTACCCTCGATTTCCGCTAACGTTTAAGTTTTATCTCAATAAAGAGAGGGTGAAAAGATGAAAGATTAAAGAGAGAAGGGGGAAAAAAAGGAGGAAAGAACGGAATGAAACGATAGCAATGGGGTAAGCATAAGCTCGCAATTGGTTTCGACTCTACGGAACTGAAAACTCAACTCGGCTCGGCTGAGCTCTCTAGCTGGCTCCAGCTATTGATCGGAGGCCGACCGGGGTCAGAGTAGCAGTGGACTACATCGGTACACCTACGAGTGCACGGTGCTCCACGTGTTGGTACGTGCACCCCTGCACACCGACGCGAGGTTGCACACCAACGGGACCAGCATCTATCCTTTCTCTAACCACCGACGTTCTACGTACGAGCCACCAACGGCGTTGCGACGTCGCTATTTACTTTCCAGTTGTGCCTACTGGAATCCCGTGTAAATGTATATCCAGTTGGTGCCGCCTGGAAAACCCCTTTTGTTGCAATTCGACCGAGACATTACTTTTTTAACCCGTTTCTCTATCTTTTTTCTTTCTCTTTTTCCACCACCGTGAATTTACCTCTCCGCCCCTTTTCACCTGAAGAGTTCTTTTACTTTTTTTTTCTTTCACCACTTAATCGAGGAACCTGAAGAGGCGGGAGAGGGTCGAGGTACGAGAAGGTTTTATCGAGTATAGATTTAGAATTTATATTTTAAGGTGGTTGTTCACTTGGTTACTCACCTCGTTGGTGTTCCATCGGTGCCTCTGGGTTGGAAAATGTTCAGCTCGTGGCAAGGTCTCCAAATTCTCCGGAAGTTTTATCGGATCCCCATCTGAACAGATAAAAAGGTACACGATGAGAGAAGTATCTTCGATTGGTTCGGGGTTCTTTTCTCAGCGTGGAAAATGGGTTTTCGAAATTCGAGGAAATTGGACGTCCTAATTGGTTACAATTTGGTTTTCAAGTATGCCGACTTTTACCAGTTACAATCTGATTACTCGTGGATCACGCGAGTTACCGTAATTCCGTGCTCGCATATTTATTTCGACGAAAGCTTAGACGTTTGCATAACACATCATTAGTCGTGTTTATATACAACGGATCGAAGCGGTTATCGATCGTCAGAGAACTCGTGTGCAAGAGTGAGAAAACAACGGTTCTAAAAGTAATGCACTTTTCACGTGCATAATGTTACAGCATTCTCGAGAAATTCGAACGCGGCGTAATTTATTCGAAAAAGAGGAAGGAAAAAATACCGAGTCAAGGAAAAAACTTTCCCCGCTGTTCCATTTTTTTTTCTTCTACCGTTTTTTTTTTCTCTCTCTCTTCGACAAAACCATTCGAAAGCTTCGATCAACGACTCTTCCAGCGAATAATTCAATCGAATGATTCGATTTTCTAGGTCACGTGGTGCAATTCATCGGTGGAACTATTAGCTGGAAACTATCGGCGTAGAAGAAACGTGGCCGGAACGAGAGAACAGCATTTCCGAATTCGTAGGAGAGACGAAAGAAAGAAACAAAAAGAAGAAGAAGAAAATCGAAGCTTCCTCTGGTACTATGTTAAACCGTAAAAATGTAAATTCTCCGAATGTAAATGACTCTACGTTGACGTTTCGAGGTATTAAGGAAACGGTTGGTACATCTGATGAAATATTCCCCAGTTTACCAATCCAGGTTTTGCCTACGACGTTATTGATATCAGCCGCGGTAGTGCAGCTGCACTTTCTCGTTCCCCTGGTAATTTATTGCCAATACCTTCTGCGTGAATTTTTCCAGCGCCTCTCATAACCGTCGTGCAGAAACCTTACTCTATATAGAGAGATTGAATATTTCATAGCCAAAAGCGGAAGCCGTAAAGAAAGCTTGAAATTAAATTCTCAGCCCTTCTATTGTACAAAATAAAATCAACTAAGTAACGTGTAATCAGCTGCTGGCAGCGTATAACCCTTTAATCCCTGATTTGTTGAGAACATGTAAGCTGCGTATAGGTTAACCCTCTAATTGTCTGCTTTTTTTTTTTGGTGCGAGAGGAAAATGAGGACTCACTTGGTGCGAGAGGCGTCGGGTAGGTTGCGTGATAGACGACACGCTGTGGATTCGAATGATTGTAGCCCGCCATTTCCGTGGCGCTCGTTAGAGCGACCGCTTCTTGGATCTTACCGATCGTGGCCGATCGTCATCGTCCTTGAACGTACGCGAAACGCGATCGTTTCTGTGCTCTCGGTGGCATCCCCAGGCTCCTCGTGTACTTGGACGTGTGTGCGGCTGATATGGCGACTCGACAATGCTCGTTGCTCGCGGTACTGGACCGTGACAAGCTACGACGGCACTCTTTTTGTCAGGAGAGCTTGCTGCCTGGTTCTAGGATGGAAACACGACTCGCTTGACGTTGTCCTCTGCGTGAGGCTCGTACACGTGGGTGGTGGTTCCCCTTAGAACGGCAGGACATATCCCCGAAAGAATCGTGTACGCGAGCCAGGTTTTTGCCTTTTCTCTCTCTTTCTCTTTTTTTATTTATATATTTTTTTTATTCAAATACGTCTACTCCTCCTCCGCCTCCTCCTTCCTCTCGATTCGATAAAGTCAATGAAATTTACTTTTTCTAACCCGCTGCCTCGAAAGAATATCAAGAGTCACAGAGAGACGAGTATAAATTCACAAGGGAGAACGTTGCAGAAATTTCTCGCGGTGACGTATACGACGGACAACACACGTGGAGGTAGTAGAGACGCGCGTGGAAATGATACCGCGACAAGATCAAGGAACCTCCGCTCTTTCGCCTTTCTTCCTTTCTTTCCTCAGTTCGTTTTAAATACTTCTTCGTACTGGTATAAAAAACTCGAGCCCCATTGTTATATCTCTGTTACAATTCTCTCTCCTCTTCGTCAATCCCTATCTCACAGTGTACTCTCTCTCTCTCTCTCTCTCTTTTTTCACCTCTTCGACCTTGTTTCTCTTTTCTCGTCACGTTTCAACAATCCTTTCACGTCTCCTCAGTCCTTTCTCGAATCCCTAGCTCTCTCTCTCTTTCTCTCTCTCTCTCTCTCTCTCTCTCTCTCTATCTTTCTCTCTCTCTCTCTCTCTCTCACGCACGCACACACACGCACGCACGCACGCACACACACGTTCCTTCCCTATCTCTCCCTTTTTTTTTCTGTTTTTTTGTTTTCTTTGTTGTGCGTTCCAGGAGCTCTTATTCTTCTTATATCCTAAGTTACAACACTTAACCTGTCCCTATCGGAGGGACAAAATAATGTAAGGGTCACACAGTACAGAGAGAACTTAAAAAGAGATTCGCCCGCAGCTGACAAGTTTTACGATCGCCTTTACCGCGTTCCTTTATCCTCCGAGTTCCTCTTTTGTTTCTTCCTTCCGCTGCTTCCCCTTTTTCTTCCTTCCTTCCCTTCTCCTTATCCCTCTCTATCACTCGTACTCTCTTTCTCGCACACGCGCCTTCCCTTCTTGCCTCCGAGACAACACCAGCAGCAAGGTAGAAGCTTCAGAAAATAAACCTTCTCTTTTAACCCCCTTTCACACTTTTGTCCTCCTCCACAACGTAATCCTTTTACTCTCTCTCTCTCTCTCTCTCTCTCTCTCTCTCCCCTTTCTCTCTCTCTCTCGCGCTCTCGCTCTGCCTCTCTCTCTCTCTCTCTCTCGCTCCCTCGTGTCCTCGCGTTATAGGCTTCGTAACGATTCGCTTAGGGACTGGAAATAGAGTTTAACGTTTGCGTTTCCGTGTGTCGTTTTTGTTGCAGTACCTTGTCGCTTCTTTTTTGTTTGTTTGTTTTTTTTTTTTAATTTATACAGAGAGGTCTAAGAGTTTCTGTTTCGTTTCTTTGTTGTTCCTGTTCTTGTTCTTGTAGAGTAGGTTTAGAGACGTTTCGTTAGGAGACGTGTGTAAGATTTTCGTGTTATTTCTTAGTGTTATTTACAAATATGTAATGTTTTTGTTTTGTTTTAATAAAATAGGTGAAATTAGTCTTTGGCCCCGCGTGTCTGCTCCCGAGCG